GTGTGTGTGTGTGTGTGTGTGTGTGTGTGTGTGTGTGTGTGTGTGTGTGGTAACGGTACTGTCAGCAGCGAAAGGGTCAACGGGAACGGGGGAGGGACCCCATGCTGCCTGTTTCACAGCTGTGTCTTCTGGCAGGCTGTGTAACCACTCTGAAAGAACCAGTTCCAGAAGCTTTCTGCTTTTGAGCTGCAAACCCAGCAATTTTCAGAATCATTGTGTGCGCTTTTAAAGAGTGGTGAGACTCAGTGAAATCCTAGATTAGGGATGTCGAAGAGGCGTTTTTTTTGAGAAAATGTTTATCTTCTGAAGGAGCAGCGAGGAATAGTGCCCTTGAAACATTAAATGGGAGAAGAAAGAAATGAAAATGCAGGCAAGGGACTGTCCTTTGCTCACCAAAACCAAATCTATAATGCAAAGATTTAAAGGTGCCCAGTGTTTTGCATAAATTGACGTAACATATCTGTGTAAAGAAATCGAATCGCTGATCTGTTAACGGGAACATGATAATGAAAACTGGCTTTTGTTGTGTTTGTTGGGATGCCTGAAGAGCCTCGAGAGAACAATTATGCATGCAAATCGAATTGAGAACATTTTTGTGAGGTTCAGGATTCTGTGTTCTAGATAAAGTAGGACAGAGGTTCTGCCCCAGGGGACCTCCCCGTGTAGGAGGGAAGGAGAGACACCAACACTCAGCACTGAAGCGATGACGCGTAATTGTCATCTTTGTGAAAAGTCACGGGATGGTTCAGAATCTTGGAGGGACGAGGGTGAGGCGACCTCTGCCCGGGGGTTGTGGGCAAGACACGTGGTGTTTGAGCAGGACCCAGGCCCTCGGGAGAAGATATGGCAGTGTTTGCTTGCCTCCAGCTGTGTTCGCATGGGAGTGGCCTCCTCACCCATCATGTTTCCAGAGCCAGCGCCCACTGTTTTTGGAGGTTTTGCGCCAGATCTCCAAGCTCAGGTGTCCTGACTAACGGCAGTCTGCTCCCTGCCCCAGTGTCACGGGGACCTTGAAAGCTCGGTGTAGCAGTTTGCTTGGGCTGCCGTAACAAACTGCCAGGGTCTGGGCGGCATCAGCAACAGACAGTTATTTTCTCACAGCCCTGGAGGCCCGAGTGTAAGCTCCAGGTGCTGGCAGGGTGGGTTTCTCCCAGGGCCTCTCTCGGTGTCTTGCAGGCGGCCGCCTTCTCCCTGTGTCCTCACCTGGTCTTCCCCCTGTGTGTGTCTCTGTCCTGATCTCTTCTTAGAAGGACACCAGCCAGATTGGATTAGGGTCCACCCCCATGCCCTCATTTTGCGTTAATCACCTCTTGAAAGAGCTTCATTCCATCACCTTCTGAAGTCCTGGGGGGTTAGGACTTCGAGGTATGAAGCAGGGAGCAGAGTTGGCTCATCATACTAGGAGGAATGTCTCTGCTTCTCTCTAACGCCTTTAACCAGTTCTGTCTGCTGCGTCCGCTCTCTCAGGAAGTGTCCTTTCATTGTCCAGACAAGGTCACACCTGATGTCCTAGCGTTTAAAATAAAGGAGCTGCCATCCTAGCGAGCAGCTGGTGAAGAGGGGGAAACAGCGAAGCCTCTTTGGAGGGCTGTTGCCGGCGTGGAGTTGCACGCACCTTCTGGTGGGTAATTCCCTTTCTAAGAGTGACCTTCTGAGCAGATGCCCATCGCCCTGTGAACAGCGTACGGGGACCAGGGGATTCCGGTGCCCCCTCTGCCGCTTCTCATGGAGCTGCCCCCTCGCCGGCTGCTCTCTCCCTGCCTGGATGGCTGGTAGCGCCCCTGGCAGACCCTGGGCAGAGTGGAGGTGGGGCTCTGTGCTCCTTCTGGATCGTGGAGAATAGTGCTTCCATGTTGGCATGACCTGCTTGCCGAAATTGTATTGACGATTTTGGTATACGTGACAGTACATGAAGCGGGCTTTCCTCGCCGGTTAGAGGGGAGTCATCAACATCTCAAATTTGGTACGCGCACTTGTTGGCCAGTGTCATGTTTTAAGCCTTGTAAGAGAGCTAAGTTTTACCACATGGGGTTCGTGCCCCTCACACGTGAGGGTCTTCTAGAGGACTTCGTCTGGGGGGTTCTGCAGACAGGTCTTGTAGGGGAAGAGCCCGGGAGGCTGTGGCCACTGGCAGGTTCTCACTCCCCGGCCTTCTCGCGGCCATTTCTGCCCCCATAGGAGCTGCCGCCAGCAGGCTGGCTCTGACCTGCTGGCTTGTGTTTTGTTGGGACAGATGGGAGAGGAGGGGCGGGGGGAGAATAAGAATAAATCCTAAATCCCACTAACAGCCAGAAGGTGGAGTCTGTGTGAAATCAAGCTCCTTCATTTCACGTGAAATTCATCAACAAGCTAAGCCCACCTGAGGGTCACCTTCCTGTACTTCTGCCCTGAGAGGTGATTTGCGGTACAGAGCTCGATGCCAAGACTGATTTCCATTTACTCCGCAGGCTGCTTGCAAGTAGGTTTCAGAGTGAGAGCGTTGCCATCCGAGCTGCACCCCTCATTTGTTGCTTTGGGGGAGACGTTTACTTCTCCTGGCCTTCAGTTAGCTAAGGGGCAGTTGAAGCTTTCCATTCTAAACTGCGGTGCTGGGTAATTAGGAAGCCCACGCTGGCATGATCACAGGGTGAACCTCAAGCTTGGAAGCTCTCTGGGGTGGAGCCCCCGGCATCGGCACAGCTTCCTCTCGGGCAGTGCACTGTCGCCCGTGCCCAGAGCCCTTGCTGAGACACAGACCTCCGTCCTCCCAGAGGTGAAAAGCAGTGGCTGTCAGAAGACCCTGGGCCCGGGCTCCAGTGGTGTGTTTTTATGTCTTGGTTTGTGACTACACTTTCCCCTTGTGTTTATACCCGCGTGCCTTCAGGAAAAGCAGAGTCAGGACAAGGCACAGCAGATTTGTTTACATGCCGGCTTGGTCTCGTGGCTGCCCGCTATTCTGAAGGACGCGTTGTTAGGCGGTGGTTTGAGGCTTCCAGGGCCTTGGGCCCCGGAGCAGAAAGTGAGGCCAGGGAGCCAGGTCCGCGGAGCAGTGAGGTGTGGGCAGAGACCGTGCTGAAACGTTAACCACTGCGGTGCCGAGGGACAGTGATGGAGACTGGACCCGGGCATCCGAGTTCTGGACGCGGCGGGGAAGCGGTCCTCCACAGACCCCACTTGGGGTCAGACCCCCACTTGGGGCCAGGTAGCCAGGTCCGCGGAGCAGTGAGGTGTGGGCAGAGACCGTGCTGAAACGTTAACCACTGCGGTGCCGAGGGACAGTGATGGAGACTGGACCCGGGCATCCGAGTTCTGGACGCGGCGGGGAAGCGGTCCTCCACAGACCCCACTTGGGGTCAGACCCCCACTTGGGGCCAGTTTCTGCCCTCTGAGAGGGTTCTGACACACGTCAGCTGATTGCCCCGGTGGCTGCATGCAAGTCCTTTTTTGGGGGCGGGGTTGGGGGGAGGGAAAAGCCAAGACTCCACGGCCCCTCTTCTTGGATGGATAGACTTCCACATCTGTTTGACAGCATCCTCTGCTCTTTTATCCTCTGGTCTCCTTCCTTCTCAGT